AACAAGGAAGTTCGTTAAACAAAGCCAAGCTCAATGAAAAAAACGGAGCAATGGCAGCCACCAGACAAGAGCAAACAACAACAAGTATTTACAGGCAGCAGAACAGCGGAATTAAATTTTAATTTTAATCGCCAAAAAAGAATAAACAGATGGAAGAGTGGCAGACAGAGAAACACAAGGAAGCAACTTACTCACACAGACCATACATACGCCCATGAACATAATGGGGATCGGCGTGCAGACAAATAAATTTCCAAGCAGAAGGCAAACGGCCGCTGCGCAGCCACTGAAAACTGAAAATGCAAGCGCACAGCTACGGCCAGGATAATAACCCCACGATAAGCTGAAGTGAAACACTGATTAAAAACATACCTATTTGCGTCGCCAAGAAAATTCTTTACTTTCAATAAATCTCATAAAAACAATAAATTTTTCCTATTTACAAATACAATTTTTGTAAAAAAAATTTGATTTTGGGTTACTACTAGTTCTTTAAACTCCATTAAAAATGTTTTTAGCCGTTATAGCCAGTGTCACAAAAAATTACGTCTTATAAAAGGTAAATGGACTTAGCCTTGAACACTACATTCCTGTCCGCGCCTGTACACGCATCGCGGAATTTAATAAACACCGAACAGAACAAAACAGAACAGACACGGCCATACATGGTAGAATTATACAAGGTAGTCTCGTCGGCTGCAAAATCGTTCGGGTTTTTTCCCCCTATCGACCCGAACCCATAGAAAAACACTCTCTCTCTCGCTCTAATTGTAGTGTCGATAGGGGGAAAAAAAAGCCGACGAGACTACCTTGTACTTATTATACCATGCGGCCATATGCATGAAGGCTGTGGATTTGTACATAAATCCCTGCGAGACGATCGCCAGAACCACCGATACAACAACGAACAGCAGATCAACAACAGCTACGGAACCCAAACAACCGCAGAGCAACAACAACAATGTGGGGAACAGGTCGCGGACTCAGGTAAACGGCAGGAAGTGCACGAGTGTGAGCGAGATGGCGTCAATAAGGCGGCACTGCCGTTGATAAATATCGATAAAAGGGGCAAGCAGGTAGAGTAGGAAAATGTTGGAAAAACGGCAAGGGAAAAACGAAGATGCTGAGGGGGCGCGACAACGAAAACAACAAACCCAAAATCCAGAAAACCCGAAAAACAACAACAAACCAAAAACTGTAAAAAATGCAACAAGAAGAACCTGCTTTAAGAGCAACGACAACAACCACAACAAGAACTACAGAGTGAGAAGGCAACAAGAACACGAAAACAACGCGACAAAGTAATGGAAAACGAGAAGGGAAGCTAGTTGATTAATGCAAGTTGAAAAAGTATACCCTGCAATTTATTTAAAAAATATTATAATGTAAAACGGATCTAATATTTTATTTGTACTAGCGAATATACTTAAAATACCTGCGCCAAGAAATTGCAACTTAACCTTCCTAGTTAAATCTATATAATCGTTGGAAGGGTATTCCAAATTTAGAGGCAGACACAAATAAAACAAGATACACTGTTGGATACAGGGAGGGGAAGGCAGCCAGAAGGAGTGGGAGCGAGAGAAGGCAAGAGAATGCAACGTATGCAGTTATTTATGTAGGCGCAGCCTTGTTGTATTTGTTGTTGCTATTTTGGAGGCCCGCAGATGAAAAGTCTGAAAATCGTGTAGAAAATCAAATTGCAAAGGCAAACTCCACTTGGACATTATGTTTTTTGTTTTTTATCGTCGTTTTTTTGTTGACGCTGCTGCTGATGCAGTCGTGACGTCAAGCGCATGCGTTAAACTGCTTTTCTATTTTGCTGTCATCTCATTGATGTTATGGCGCTGTATCCTTTCAAGCCTCAAGGGGTATCCCCATTCCGTCGCAGTGTTGGTAACACTACTTTTTTCGAGAGCTTTCCACTCAAGTTTTCATTTCCCTAAACACTTTGAACTTGATGGTGGGGGATAGAAAGCAGCTATCGGTAACTAGTCATCTGTTAACCCAACTGGAAAAAGGGTATCGCAGGAATGAAATTAAGTGGGCTAAAATTGTAAAAGAGGGTATTTTGAGACCGCCATTATTTTGACAGTTCTGCTTTTCGTCTCAAAAACAAAAGTTTTGATAAACATGTGTACATACATACTATAAAGATTTAATATTTAAAGCATATACGAAACAAACTTTGTTTGTTTATTTATTTTTGGATAAAAAGTAAGCCGAAGTTTATAAAGATAAGAACTGCTAAAGCAGTGCAGTTATAAAATGTTTACTTTAAAATATTTCATATCTTTTTGTTTGTTTGTTTATACATTTGGAAATAACAGATTATGGTAAACCAAAAAGTCATTTATAACCCCAGAGAAGATAAATCCTAAAAAAATTAACGTTAGTGTACCTAATGATAAGAGCGTTCAAGAAACCAAAAAAGTTTTATTTTTATTAATTGACTTAAAAATGATGTGAAATTAATCAATTTAAAAAATGGTATAAATTATAAAATGATTTGATGAAAAACTAGCATTATTTTCTGGCAAATAGAGAATTAAGTAATAGAAGACTAACCGTATGGTAGAATAATTTTTTACAAGGGTACTAAGGCTCCGGTTCTGAAATATACCTTTATGAGCTTCTGGTTGCTTTTGTATTTTGTAGAATTCGTCTTTGTTTGGGGAAACGCACATGAAATTTATGCGGCGTTGCGTTCTAGAGTTCTGAAACATAAAGACTTCGGTGGTGCGGTGGTGGTGGTCTTGGTGCACCCAGAAGGGGTGTTTTTCCCAGCTGGGGGTTGGTTGTTGTTGGAGCCGTCGTTCAGTGGGAAAACCAGTTGAGGGGGAGCAGAGAAGAGAAGCAGTGACAAAATGCGCACACAAATAGAAATAACAATCTTGCATTGCGACGTAGTAGCGATTAACAAAAACCAAAAAAAGGAAATCACACAAGGAAAACAATTATAAATTGCGTTATAATTTAAGCGATATGGAATCGGTGAGAATGTTTATCAGCCGTTTGTGTTTGGGGTTCAATAGACCCCGACAGGCGCGGCCAAATGCAACGCAAATCCCCAATTCTATATGTATATAAAAACAGAAATCTTTCGCAAGAGTGAAAAAACCAAAATTTTAATCTTTTCTGTTCGCTCCCTAAACATCAATCCTAAACAGCAATTCATTAAAATAAGTGTAAGACTAATAAAAATGTTTATTATACATCAAGATATTCTGTACTGAGTGGGGACTGTAGGAACAATAAACACATTCTGTGATGGACATAGACGCTAATTGGCTGTCGGAACGGGTTAACGACATACAATATCTAAAAAATAGGTCTGACTGATAGCGGCGATCCCTATCTGAAGTGCATATAACGATTACTGGATGATGACTTACCGTTTCACCATTTTGTTGGTTACTCCCGAATTGTTTTCCTGCTGAGTGCCAATATCAACGGATCTGTTATAATCCAGTTTTGATGTAAAGATTTTAATGCGACGGAAATTAATTTTGCCGATCTTTTAGATAAACCTTTAAAAAATCGATTGGATATTATGGATTAATTTTAATTGCTTTGCAACGCGACTTTTACTTCCTAGATGGTTAACTGAATATAAAGACGAAGGCGACGCAGCAGGAGTCCAATTGGAAAACAAAAACAGACAATAGGAAATCGACGGGTGTACAAAATTGTTATTTTTATTTCACGTTGCAGGCGGGTTCTGCTTTGTTTTTTTTCTGCTGCTGCAACGCCAACGCCAGGTTTTATTTTATTTTTTTGGCTGCACGAAAAATCACTTTATTGATCCGCTTTCGCCGTAATTATATTCACGTTTCTGCAGTGGAAAACGGCGGAGATTAGCACGCAATATGAATGCACTTTAGATTTTTCCCTTTCCCACTCTCCGCCCCTCCTCAGCCTTTCCGCTTTTCCACTTTCTTTGCGGCGCTTAGTCACTTCGCACAAACTTGCACACAAACACTTCCAAAATTCACACTCCGATTTGCATTTTTACCTCTCGAGTGCGATTTATTCAGCAATCTGCTTTGGATATTATTTCTATCGCCTTTGCACTGGCTCATTCGCAAACACAGAATCTAAGGGATTTTCCTGTGTGTTATTTTCCGATACACATAAACAAAGCTCGCGGCGTTTGGCTTTTCCGCATCTCGCGCGCGTTTTCGATTTAAAATCGTCCGATCTCTATCGCTTGGCAGTTTTCAAATCGCGAGTCTTCAAATAGTAGGCAGTGCCTGCCTTTCTTTTTGTTTTGTTGTTAATTGTTGTCAATAAATCGGCGCAGGCAACAACAATAACGGTGCGTGGTGATGCGGGCGGTGGTTTTTTTGGTTCGTTCGCAGGTTGTAGTGTGACCGCTGATGGCTGGTGTAGAGAAGCCAGGCTAAACGCCTACACCAAAACAATGTGCTAAAAAATAACAGAATCGCAGTTTATGCGCTTGGTTCATAACTTAACTTAAATTTAGCAAAGCTTCAAACTATTTGACTGAATAACAGAGTTCTGTTAAGGGAAGAAATTAATTATTATAAAAAAAAAAAATTACTTAAAAAATGACTACTAAAATTTACAAAATTCGACGTCTTTTTTTAATGAAGATTTAATTGACTTGATCAAAAGATCAATAGTTCTAAATCCTCTAAAATTTATAACAAAATAAAATCAATGTTTTTTTTACTTTAAATTTTAAATTACCAGCAACAATATAACAAATAAAAAATGTAAACGATTTTAAACAAGTCGTAATAAATAAAAATTCTATCAATAACACAACCAGCTAAAATATATTTAAAAACGTTTCTAGGCGCCTTCTAATGAATAATGTATTTATCACTTTTTAACGAGGAATTTATTCGGCTACAGCGAATACTGCTTTCTTAGACACGAGTCCACATGGGATTCAAGGCAAAGCACAAAAATAAAACAAAAAAATTTCGAAAATCAAACCTTTCTTCCCGGACCAATAGATATTATACCACTTGTTGAACTATGAATTAACAGTGTATTTGTTGTAATGTCTGCTGCATCACACGGTCGGTTTTTGGTGGCCAACCCAACTTATCGGCTACGAATCTTACGACTATTTGTAATGGTTATAATGGGTGTATGGTATTCATATTCAGATCAGATCGGTGGTGGCTTAGAATTCGCCGCTCTTGCCGTCGCAGGCCACAATCTTGACCTTGTCCACCTTAACGAATTCGTGCACCTCGCGGAACTCCACATCGTTGAGCATGAGGGTCCAGACGTTGTCGCAAAAGCGGTAAGTGTTCAATTTTCCAGCCTTGAAGGTCACGCGGGCCTTGACCCGCTGGTTTAGGGCGTTGTTGATGCTCTTGTCGAACTGCAGCAGCACCTTGAACGCCAGTCCGGGCGTAATCTGACCGTACTGCAATATGGAACCCAAATTTTACATTGTGTTCTGCAACGCAAGCTGCGGCCATTTTGCGGGCCATTACCCACCTGAATCAGTTCATCAAGGCTCTCCTGCAAGGTGTTCCCCAGCGTGGTGTTGCGGTAAAGTTGGTAGGACATGATGGCTCCTTAATTACGGTTAGTTTTCTTTTTTCGTCGGAATTTTTGCAAGACTCGACAAGTCGGGCAAAAAATTTTAATGCGAAGCAATAGAGCTGGCCATATTTTTCGATAGGTTCTTATCGCTAGACAAACTTGGGTTTTTTCCGCTGGAGGCGCTCACGTCTTCTTACAGAAATATTTAAAAGGCCAACGTTTTGAAGCCCCGTCTCGCCCAGAGCTCTGCTAAGATAAACGATAGTATCGATGTTTTCGACAGTGAAAACATTTTCCCATTTGTGTGCCAGTGGCTTATGTCTAGGTTGGTTATAACAGAATTCAAATTCTACACGAGGGTTTAAAAAACTTCCACCAGGAGGCGCCACAAGTGCTCGACCGTTTCAGTTTAAAAGTGTTATATATTGTTTGTAAAGTAGTTGTTAAATCAGTTATCAAGAACATATCACAAATTATTATAACATAAATTAACCATTAATAACTCAGTTGCAGAGACTGCACTCCATTACTCCTTACACTCCACTACACGACAGATAAAATATCTAATTCTTTTCCTAGGTCGTTGCTTTCATTGTTGATTTGATTACTTTCCGATTTGGGAGATTCGATAAGTCGGTCACTCGTCTCGAGTTTTTCTGTCATTGGTTCCGTTTTGCAAGCAACTTCTAAATTGGATTCCGAACTGATTTCAGGCTTATTAACTTCATTGGTATCCTTATCATTTAAATTTTCAACCGCATTCAACTCAATCTTTTTAGTGGCCAACACTTCTCTGGCCTTTTCTTTGGCACTGGCTATTAGTTCCCTGTACTTGGGCAGTCTTCTTTCGAAGATCTCGTTGGACTTCTTTACCGATGCCTTCACCAATCCATCGTCCGGAAAGCAGCGCAACGCATTCTGGAACATTTTCCGCACCGACACCACGAAACCATCGAAGTTCACGAAGATATCGGAGTCCAAGCGATCCTGCAGCACCTTCCAGTCCAGCTTTTCCTCGGCATCGTGGTCGTAGTCCGAATCCTGGGAGTATCTGCGCCAGTAATCGGCACGATTGAAGGCCCAGGTGAACTGTCTGCGTTTCCGTTTCACCATCGACTTTAAAAGATGGTCGCAGTGGCTCTTTTCAATCAAACGGTCCAAAGACTTGTAACAGATTACAGGAGGTTTGAGTTTTGGTGGTGGTGGAGGCGGTGGTGGAGGTGATGGTGGTGGTGGCGGCGACGGTGGCACTGGTGGCAGAGTTGGCTTCTTTGGCAAAGGCATGAGGATCGGTTCAAGTGGAGCAGTAGTCAACGGAGGTGGCAGCACAATTGGCTTCAAGGAATATGGTGGAGTATCCTTGGTTTCCGATTCCACCTGTACAGTATTTCCCCCTATTTCTGGGGATATCTGCCAGGAATTTTTAAAGGGAATCGGATACATTGATGTCAACGGATTGGACAGGGAGCCGGGCATAAAAGGTATGAAACCGGGGGGCAAAAGTCTTGGAAAAGGCGCTGACAGTAGAGTGACACCGGGAATGGGTTTTGGACAGTGTCTGGAAGGCCGACCAACAGGATATTCCACAGGATGATGACTCGGAGGGACTACTGTTCGAGCCGGGGAATTGTCCCGAGTGTCGGGAGCCCTTCGCTTGCGCTTCTCCGGCTTGGGCTTCAGCTCCTCCTCCTTGGTCATGTCAATGGAGGCCAGTCGAGCGTGGTAGGCGTTCCTCAGCTCCTTGCCCGCCTGACGAACCGGTGTGCCCTCCAGGTTGTAGAGCATGCAGTTGCTGAAGATCAGCTCGAAGTCCTCCAGTGCCTCCTTGGCCTGCCAATAGTAGTTGTTCTGCAATCGCTTCTTGATCGTACTCAAGTCCATGGGGCGCTTGATCATCGTGTGATAATCGGGCACACCCAGGGTCACCGAATCGACGGGATGCCGGAAGTGATACGCCCAGCGACTCCTCCAAAGGCAGTTCAGCACGGACTTGAGGTCCTCCAGCACATTGGTCCTGCGGCCCGGTCGATTCGGAGGTGGAATGACAGGCGGTTGGACGATTCCGTTCACCGGCTGCAGATCCGGCTCATTGCGCGGTGGAGGCTTGGGCATCTCCAATTTCCACTTATCCATATACACTTTGTTTGCTCAGCTAAGCAGATCTAAATATCTGCTTAAAGCAAAGCATTAATCGTTTGATTAGCATTGCAAGCAATCAAATTAAAGCACGTCAACCTCTTACTTTTTGTATATCCGACAATTCTCAGCTCCGTTCAGCTCGGAATCCCGGAGTATACTAAACTTTCTGATTAACATCATTGAGTTAAGCTCTCTGACATTAGACTCTTTGTGAAATCGATTAACGCTTGGGTATATTGAATTAGCTAAGCAGGTAGAAGCTATTCATAAATAAGCAAATATTAATAAATCAGCCTGGAACTTGTTTTTTTATTTAGACATAGACTGATAACAAGAACGTGTATTAAAAAAAGCACATCTTTTTATTCAGTCTCTCGATTTAGTTGCACTTTGGAACACGTAAAATGAGGAAGTGGGTTTTGCTAATGCTTCTCCTTTGGGAGTTCAGCTCTATCGAAATGTCTGATAACCAAGGTAAGCCTACTTGATATTGAAATAATTATAAGGCTATATATTATATATTTTAGGTAGAATACGTAGGTCGTCCGTAGTAGTTGGTGGCAAGCCAGCTCGTCCTCAAAAATTTCGGATGGCGGCTCGTCTTGGTCATCATATTCCTGCTCAGAACGAAACCAAATGGTTTTGTGGAGGCACTTTGATAAGCCAATCTGTGGTTTTAACGGCTGCTCACTGTTTTTATTCCGAAGTGTAAGTACTGATACTAATAAATATATTTATATGAATATATTTATATAATAAGTTTTTATTGCTATAGTGGCACAGTCAATGTTGTTCGATTGGGAGAGCTAGTTTTCGATAGCGACAAGGACGATGCCGAGCCTGAGGACTTTGAAGTTCTCGAACTAAAGACCCATCCCAATTTCCAGTTCCCCGTTCTATATAACGACATTGGACTAGTTCGATTGGTTAGAAAAGTAACCTTCAGTAACTATAAGCTGCCCGCCTGCCTGCCCTTAAACGATGGAAGCCAGGTTGAATACTTCACCGCCATTGGATGGGGTCAAACGAAGTACAACAAATTCGAGCCCTCCCAGGAGCTGATGGAGGTGCAGCTGCAAAACTTTGGCCAGTCTTGTCGTCAGACAATAGAATCCAACGAGGATTTGCCCAAGGGATATAACGCAGAGTCCCAGTTGTGCGTCGGATCCCGGGAGCATGAGGATACCTGCAATGGAGACTCCGGTGGTCCTCTACTGATTTCGCTCTCCGGAAATGGTTGCAATTTCACAGTCATGGGAATCACTTCTGTCGGCATTGCCTGCGATACTCCGGACTTTCCCAGCCTGTATACAAGGGTTCACTTTTTCCGGGATTGGATTAAAGCGGAGTTAGCCAAAATGTAACGAAAATAAGTAGCACTCAAAACACAAACTATCAAGGGATTTAAAAAAAATATAACAAAGCAATCATTTAGTTCTCCGGTTTTAAATTTTTATTTGCTTTGTGTGGTTCCGCTAAGTGTGATTTCGTTTCTTGTATTTTGTTTTACAATTATAATTTTACAATAGTTTCAACTAAATAAATAATAACAATTTATAAATATAATTTCTCTCATTCTTCGCTTACTCAGGGCTTTGTGTTTGACATAAATAATTTGTTCATCTAGAGTTTTTAAAAACATTTTGGGCATACGCATTAGGTGAAAATCAATATCTGCTTTTGATTTGATGTTAATTGCTTGCACAAGCAACCGCTTGATCTTTACTCGGTTTTCAACTTATCTATTTATAAAAATAATGGTTAGGTCTACAAATTGCAACGAAAACAAAACCTATAGAAACCAAGGATCTATATGCAATAAATAAATACTTAATACTAACATCTGTAGCTTGGGGTGTTTACTATATACAAAACAACGCAAATAATTGCGCCGCAGCGCTCTGTCTAAGAAGCAAAAACCTATCGCTTATGGTTAGAACTCTTCTTTGTAACTTGATTTCCATTAACATCTTCATTCTTGTTTTATTGTCTATTTCGAAAGTGTGGCGCGCGCCGCCCAGCGACGCAACTAAGTCGGTAAGTCGGGAAGAGAGTCCGGGGTTGGGTTAATAGAAAACAACAAACTCCAAAGCAGTGGCTGTGGCTGTCGCCTGACATCTGACATCTAACTAACACTAAACTCTATACTGGTATCGCATATGGGTTAGCTGTACTGCTCCACTGGCTCCACTTGCTCCTCCTGCTTTACTACTTGTGCCCGATGACGAGCGTGTAGTTGGCTGTGCCGACTGTCGACGACAAGGTCGACGGTAGCGCTGGTCATTTGGCAAGCTTCAGGATCTCGGAACGGGCCAGAGTGTTCACATTGCCAGCCGAGGCCAGTGGTGCTCCTCCAGCTCCAGCTCCAGTTGCTTGCATAGTCGTTGTGGCCATGGGAGGAGCCGGAGCAATGCGTATGGGCTTCGCTCGCTGCTGATTGAAGAGGCCACTCAACGTGGCCGCCGTGCTGGTGGTCAGCACCATGCTGGCCCCACTTGTGTTGCTGTTCGCCTGGCGCTTGCTCCGCGCGAGTCCATTTATTTTGTTGTTCGTTGAAGAGGGCGACTGCTGCTGTTGCGGCTGATGCTGCTGCTGCTGCTGATATGGCTGTTGTCCGCCAATTACTGACGCTCCTGATGCCGGAACAGCACTAGTCGCAGTTGCTACTGCTGCTGCTGATGCTGATGGGGATGAGGATGTGGCTGCGGGTGTCGAGGAGGCTGAAATGTTATCCAACTCAGTCATTGCTTCTTGTATGGCCCGCTCGAGTTGCGAGTTCAGTTTGCGGCTCCTTTGTGGTCGCATGGTGGGTGTGTGTATGTGGTTGAGTTTTTGGTTGGGTTCGGGTTTAATTTTTTTTTTATGGTTTTTTTTTTTTTTTTTGAGTGGGGTTGTTGTTGGTCATGATGATGATGATGATTATGCATACACACACAGAGTTATACACACACGTTGGGGTTGGCAGGGCAGGGTTTAATTTTTGGATTTGGTTCAGCGCATTTTAAAAAAAGAAACAAGAATATTAATTAGCAAATTAAAAGTCAAAATGTAAAACATAATAATAATGCATTTGAATGCCAATTTATCGCTAAATTGCAAAGCTAATAATACCAATTATCAAGATATAGCTAAAAAGGCTGCAAACATAAACTACATAATCAAATTACGAGTTAACGCTTCTAGAGCTTAAAAAAGTCTGCAAAAACAAACTACTAACGTGGCTATAAATAATTGATTTAATACAAAAATAATCTACGTAGTTGCCAATGGGGCTTAATTTGCAATAAACTACAAATCTATAAAAAATATGTTTGCAAAACATTACTTAAATATAGGGCAAAAACAAGAAAAAGTTATTATGGGTTTCTGCGAAAATAAACTACAAAAATACGAATGAATGTATTGAAATAATATCAAAGGAAATAAATGTAAATACATTTTAAAATCATAAAAGGAAAAACTATTAAAATTATAGCTATAGCTCTATACTGCTGGTCTGGTGTTCACCTATAGCCGAAGTTCCTGAAATCTCTGTCTGCTTGTTTAAATTAATTTATTTAGTATCCCCCCTCTGATCTTTTCCCTAGACATTTCCCCCGTCCCTTGATCGATGCTCACTTTCTGGTGTCCTTCTGGGCCTTGTGATGTGCTTCCAGACCCTCGGAGAGACTCTGCAGCGAGTTGACCGGAATCAGTTCGGAGGTGGACCGCCCGCCGCCGCCGAACCACTGAACCCACACGTGGTCGAACTGCTGCGACGGCGTGCACACTCCGTCGGGCATCTTGACGATCTTCCCTGGCCAGGCGGGATGCCCCCGTGCCGGACCCCAGATCAGTTCCCCGATGGCGAAGGATCGCGGCGGCAGCAACAGGAACCGATTGGAAACCGAGGGCGTGGCACGTGCCGCCCCTCTTTGCGGTCGCCGCGAACGTTTCGTTGGCGTCCTGACCGCCGACGTTGCCTTCTCAACGGTGGGTGGTGGTGGTGGTGATGCATCCAGATTGGGGATCGGAGTGGTGGAAAGCTGCTGCGTGGTGGTGGGCGACTCTACGAAAGGCACACACACACACTCATAGAGAGACTAGGAGACTATGGCTTTTTTGTTACTCGGAGGGCAGAGAGGTGGTCCCAGCACCAGCGGATTACAAAAAACACAGAGCAGGGCAGAAATTACATAACTAAACAAAAAAACAAAGGTGCAGAGGTGCTGGAGGCGATCATGCAGTGGCCAAATGGTTGGTTTTCTTGTGGTTGTAGTGGTAGTGGTGGTTGTAGTGATGGGTTAGCGTGTGGTGGATGCAGTTAGTGCTGGTCAGCGATGGTGGGTCCTTACCCTGGTAGTCGACATTAACTATTTTGTGGCTGTGGAGGAAGGTGTTGGAGGGATGGCTGTTGGAGATGTTGGCAGTGTGGTGATGCTGCTGCTGCTGATGCTGCATGGCCTGCTGGCGTTGCACAAAGTGCCGCTGACCCGCCGCCATCGCAGTGGTTGTTAGTGGTGCCGCCGATGACGAGGTTATGGACATGGATGCGGATGCGGATGTGGAGTTGGTGTTGTTAGATGTGGCGAGGCGCATACCTTGTCCCTGCGTCAAACTGATTCCATTCTCCGTGGCGTTCGTCTGCGAGGTGATGTGAATGCGACGGATTTTGGGCTCTGAATGCTTGTAGATGCCACTTGGCTGGGTGAACAGATTGGTGTTGCAAATGGCTATTTGGGGACAAGATAATTGAATTAGCAAATTCTGGAAGGTAAGACAATCTACTTACTTCTCTCACAGTCCGTGGAAGAGGGCGACTGTCGACTCTCGGCGCTTTGGGGAGAAACAGCTGCATCCGGTTCAGAACTGGACACACATTGCACCTAAAAAAACCACATGGATTAGGGAAATTCAAGATTTAATTGGTAATAATCATAACTAACCATATCGCTGCCACTGCTTCGATGGCTGGGAGGTCGCTCCGGACTCCGCGGACTGCAGGTGGTGGTGTCCGGTGGACTGGCCGCCGTTCCCTGGCGATTGATGGCTGACTCCGTGATGTAGGTGGCCTGCGTTGGCTGCAAACTAATCTGCGTCGGCTGCGGGGCAGGCTGCTGCTGGATCTGGATGGTGGTGGTCGTGGGACTCGCCTGGACAAAGGAGGCACCTCCCTGCTGACCCGTGGGCATCACCAGACCCATCGGAGTGGAGTATATCTGCCCGATGGGACTTAGCTGGCCATTGGCGCCCACCAAGTACTGCTGACCACCGGCGCTCGGCGAGATGAAGGATGGCTTGCTCTGCGGCGAGGGAGTGCGCAGCATCACGGGACCCTGCGGCGTCATCAGACTGGTGGTGGGCATGTTCTGGATCTGCAGCAGCGTGGCGTCCGGACCCATCACCAAGCCAGCGGGCATGAGGAGCTGCTGTCCAATCAGATTCACCTGCTGCAGGATCTGTCCGTTCTGCAACAGAAGCTGCTGCGTCTGCTGCGCCTGCGGGGGATTCGGTTTGTTGACCACAATGCCCTGGATGCCCGGACTGAGTTGGAACTGCTGCTGCAGCAGAGCGGGCGCCTGGCTCGGTATGCTGGGTGAGATCTGTGGCGATATGGTCTTGGCAGGCGAGCCACTCGGCGGCGGCGTATGGCATATGGAACTCTTGCGCTTCCGCGCTCTCCTCTTGTTGTCCGGCGAACTGATGATGAGCGTCTGCGCTGGCGGCGGTTGCGGCATGGCCAGGATCTGCTCCGCCTGCTGCGTCGTCTGCGACTGCTGTTGCTGCTGCACGATGTAGCCTCCGTTGGGCAATGTGTTCAGCAGCACAGTTTGCGGTTGATTTGCTGCCGCTCCAGCCGTTGCTTGATTTATTTGACCCGCCTGCGAAGTGATGATTTGGTGGTGCAGCAACTTGGCTCCTCCGGAGTTCAAGATCACAGTGCTGCTGCTGCTGCTCGAGCTGGCCGAGGCAACTGGCGAGGGTTGACTCACGATGTAACCTCCTCCTGGTTGAGGATGCAATTCCGCTGGCTGCTGTTGTTGGATAATCACACCCTGACCGGGTTGAGCGGTACGATGATGCTGCGGGGTTTGCTTATTGGCGGTTGGTATAACCAGTAGCTGACCCGAGGATGTCATTATCAACTGGCCGCCACCACCTGCTCCTCCCATTGCATTTGCCATCGTCTGCAGCTGCGCCACCGTGGGATTCGAGTTGGTCAACGTGGTGGTCACCGGTCTGCCCGTTATCGTACTTCCTCCCGCCGAGGAACTGGCAGCTAAGCTCCTGGTCATCGTGGCCATGGCGCCACTGCTGCTGGCCACCGGCAATCGCTGGCCGGGAATGATCTGCGCCTGCTGCTGGCGCATCACGCGAACATGCGAGGGCAAGGACACAGCCGCCGGAGCTGGAAGATTAGCTTGTGGCTGCGTGCGCATCTGCAGCAATTGCGGTTGCAACTGCACGTGCATCTGGGGCTTCGGGGAAGCGGAGGGCGTGCTCTTGGCCGAATCAACGGAATCCGTGGGAGAGGAAACGCTCTGCCGTGGACTCTCGTGACTGGTGGATATGGCACCCACTTGCTCGGGTCGCTTTTCCAGCACTTCGGCTGCACTACTCGATACGGGGGATTCCTGGGGAGCTGGCACCATGGTTAAGCTGGTGATCTGGGGTTTCTGGGGTCGTGCAAAGGCTGCCGTGTCCACTTGAAGGGTTCGTGCTCCATTTGCAGGTTGGGAATTTGTGGTAGGTGATGGATCCGCTTCCCATTTCCCAAAGAGCGAGAGACGACGCATCTTCTGCCGCTGCAATTGCTGCAAATGTTGCTGTTGGTTTTGCTGCTGTTGCTGCTGTAGATGTTGCTGCTGTTGAAGTTGCTGCTGTTGAAGTTGCTGCTGTTGAAGCTGCTGCTGCTGCTGCTGTTGGTGTTGCTGTGAGCTGTGCACAATGGGCTCTTGGGGCAGAGATCTCGCCGTGGAAGTTCCCGCCACCGCTTTGGATCCATCCAAACCAACTCCCAAAGTTGTGTGCAGCAAAGCTGTTTGCTGTTGCAAGTAACCAGCGGGATCGTCCTTGAAGTTGGGGTGTGGTTGCTGCTGCTGCTGTTGTTGTTGCTGCTGCTGCTGCTGGATGACTCCACCTGCAACATTTGGTGGCGCCAGAGCGTTGGCTGGCTGCTTTATCACATGTCCCGGTGCTGGACGCTTGGGGACGCCGCCAACTGGAACTCCGCCCAATGCTAATGCTTGACTAGTTGGCATCGCACTTGAAAGCGGCAGCGGCAGAGGAGGCGTAGCGGGAGTGGGCGTGGTCGTGCTGGTGGACCGGACCGAGGCAGGTAATTTGTTATTGCCGTATTTGTGGCAATCAGCGTCTGCAAATGGAGCAACAAATTGAAAAGGCAAAGTCAGTGAAAGGTCAAGACATCCTTTGTTCGGTTGGTTATGCAAAGCGCGTCGCGTCCTTAAAGTGCCCGCAACGTGTCCTCCCCCAAACGGAACACCACCCACCCACAAAGGGTCCTCTAAACTCTCTGCTCAGTGGGGTAAAAAAGGGAGGGATAGGGGGAGCAAACGGAATCCCAAAATCAGAACACACAAACGTGCGGCGGGTGCTTCGAACAAGAAAAAAACGAGGTTTTAGGTGGGGCAAAGTCAGTCTCTGGTTTTCAAGCGTAAGCATATAATGGCAGACTTATAATTAAAAAGCTTTACCCAAAAAAAGGGATGCATACCTCATAAAATAAAAACAAATAGCTACACAAAAAAAGCGAGCAAGCCACAGAAAATTTAAATTCATTTAGCAAGGGCATAGATTTTTAGATTTTTGTTTCAACCGTTTTTAGCAAATACTTGCCACACCCACACAAACCGCCGAATGACCAACTTTGGCACCACCTCCATAGCACCGCCTTATACATATACACCTCCACCCAACCAACCACTCAAAAAATTATCTGCGATGGCTCGCGAAAATTTCTAAATCGTGGAAAAGTTTTGCTTTGTGCGGGGTTTTTAATGCGACGCTGATTGGACTTTCAACCCGCCGGAGGATTGCAAGTGGTTTTCTCCTGACTGCCGGCGGGGAAGAGGAAGACAGGGTGGTGTTGCGAAAATTGCTGGGGGGGCGTGGCCGGTGGGCGGTAGGCGGTACACAGTGGACGCGCTCGGTTAAACTTTTGCCATCAAGTCCCTTTTGTTTCAATTAACCTTTTCATTTTAAAGTTTTTAACAATGTTTGCCAAATGTTTGCCCAACTGCTGAACTGTCTCCCTTGTCCTTTTGCGCCCAACCGCCCCCTGCCACGCCTACTTTATATCCCTGAATGGTTGGCCAAATGAATGTGCGAGCTGCGAAACCCTTTTCCTTTTTCCTCCTCAAAATTGGCAACAGTTTTGCAGTTGTTTTCCTTTTTCCTTGCACTCGGCGAGCAAATATCTCAAATGGAAATCAAATTGCTTTGAATTGCTGGAAGAAAAACCCTTTCAAAAACTCTGACAGCCTGCGGCAGTTTTCAGATAAGCGGGGAAAAAGAGGGGAAAGGTCCGCCGGGGAAAGTGCGGATGCTGAATTGGTGCGGTGTCAATAGAATAAAAGTTTGTGCAAGTGCTTCCCGGATGATTGCAAAGGGATTCCAATACAAATATTTGGCGGGCAACGCAACGGAATACTTATACCCTCACTAAAATGCAGTGGGGCTTAAAAAACCGAACGGAACTTGCAATACTATGCTTATATTATATATAACTATGCAGCCAATCGTAATTTTATGTTCATAAGTAGAGAAATGTTTTGATTATGTAGTTAACAAATAAACAAGGTCCCATAGCTAATATAATCCCGAATATTTAACCTTATAATTGGGTACCACAAAAGGTAACCAAATAAGCAACATTTTTAATCCACACCACCAACGCCAAACAGAAGCAACCTCGAATGCAAAATGAAATTTTCAGTGGGAAAAGTTTTGTATATCTTGCTAATTGGCTTCCTGAGTCACAGAAATCAGCGCTCAACTTTTGCACTTTTCTCTCCTTGCTCCTTGTGTCACCTTCAAGGATCTGTTGCTGTATCCAAAACTCAACCCATCGGAGAACCAACCATTCTCCATTCCCCAATTGGAGCTGTCCAAACCGCTGGAGGCGCTCTCAAGTGTAAATGTTTCCCAGCAGTCGGGGGTCTTTAATAAACATAACATTTATTTATCATGCTGCTTTTGGTCGACTTAAAGCGCCTGCAGCTGTTGGTTGGGGAAAATCCGGAATGGGGAAACCCCAAACAGTTCGTGTGGGTGGGAAATGTCTTTGACTAACGCTTTGGGTTTTTGTGTTGAGACGCGTTAACTTCCTTTGACCGGTCACACAAAAGACAAAATCAAACCAAGCTGAAGATTCGTGGAGCAGGAAGAGGAGCTGTTGGGGAATGGGAGAGGCAAACGGACGACAAACGGGTGGAAAGCATCTCCGAAATGCACTTCCTGCCAATGTTCAAACAACCCAAACCCCAAACCCCAAACCCAAACCAAATCTCCCACTTCCCCCTTAAAAAAAACCTGCCATATACTACGCTGTTTTAAGCTTGTTGAACTCGTTGCCTTCGCTGTGTTTTGTTTGCTCGCTCGCTCGCCTTGCGATTTTATCCTTTTTTGCTCTCCTTGAACTCCCCACCTCAGGATTCGCATCCTGGTGCATATCTATCTGTGTCTCCCACTCGCCAGCTTCACAGCTTCCTCGCTGTGTGCAGTTTCACTTTATCATTGTCTAGGCATCGTTTTTCACTTGGCAGCAGCCACAGTCAACATCGAGCACCTTTTCCACTGCATCTGTTTGCCAAGCCACACATACGATTCGTTTATTTGTGTGTGTGTGTCTACAGGTGTGGACAAGATAATAGAACTTGTTGTACTACATGGGATTAGGATCAAGTCAATTAAACTTTACATTTCTAATTAGAAGGGTTGCAACTATTTAAAAAATTTACTAAAGTTGTTCAATAAATTAAAAGCCATACGAAAATAAATTTTTTATTAAAAGAAAAACCTTACTACTCCAAAACTAAATACAAAATGTTTTAGGACCCTCTATAAGAATTATAGAAATTATAAAATCCTCTTATCACTTGACTTGAAAGCTTCTCCTCTGTATAATCCTTAAAGCCATTCAGTTGACCCCAACTGTGTGAGTGTGTGTGTGAGTGCTTGTGTGTGCGTGCAGAGAAATGTGAATGTTTGTGGCTGGGTGTTTGTGTGCAGTTCCTGCTGTGCTCCATTTTGGCATGGCTTTGCTTTTGCTTTGCTTAGGATTTTCCTTGGCCCAGCCTGCACTTTTCGCACGTATCTACACTAGTTTTCCTTTTGGCCTGACCTCACCTCCGGCTATATCCTTACCCCTCCCCTTTCCCCACTTTCCCCTTCACCACTACCATTACCAACAGCAGTGCATCCTTCGTCGTCAGTGGTTGTCGTCGTTTTTACTTTTTTCTGTTTTTTTTTTTGCTCTCTCTCCATTTCTATTTTTGCAGTTGCGCAAAAATGCAGGCATCACATTTTTCCATAGCATACTTTTGAGCGCTGCAAATGTTCACCCGCAGGGGAGCTTTGACAGCCAGGGTTGCCATGGCGCCGATAAATAAGGGAAACGTCCTTCATTCCTAGAGCTCGCAAATGAAATGGCAAATAGTCGGAAAAAAGGCATTTGCTTTATGTTGAAAAGAAAGGCGTTTTACTCATTAGGAAGATGTTTGCTTGTACTCTCTTTATATTTTTTTTTCAGATTGCATGGCTTTTGACTTATTATAAAAAATGAATCTTCCTTTATTTCCAAACCTATCTGAAGCGGCGGATAAAACCTTCCCTGTTGACAACCCCGACTAAATGCAGCCCTTAATACGGTTTCCGCTTATCTTTGGATTATACAGGGCTTACTTACTCGTATTGTCCTCGTACTTAAATTGTTTTGTACTTGTATAGGTTGTGTTACCACTCACCTTTGTTGGCCAATTCATGTGTGGTGGTTGTTGCCGCCTGGGCTGTTGCCGCTGATGTTGCTGCTGCTGGCGTCGATGTTGCTGCTGTTGGTGTCGCCGTTGCCGTTGCCGTTGCTGTTGTCGCCGTTCTTGTTGTCGATGTCATCAGCGTGGAGAACACATCGCTGACAGCTGCTGCCCCAGATACGGATACAGCTACAGATACAGCATCTTTGACAGCCTGTTGTTGTTGTTGTTGTTGTTGCTGTTGAAGATGTTGCTGCTGCAATTGTGATTGCTGCTGGTGCTGCTGCTGCGGTTGCTGTGGCAACTGAAGCTGCTGAGATTCAAGAAATCGCCGCTGATGGAGGCAAGGTGTTGGCATCGACGTTGGCGCCTCCGTTGGCAACTTGAGCGGCATGTTGGGCACCTGCAATTAGCATAAGGCAACAAATTGGCATAATTAGTGTAAATGGTATGCAACAATCAAATTAGTCGCCGCCACTCGACAGAATCGTCGATGGCGGCAACCGCAGAGCCACCCATTGAGCCCCCAGTGAAACCGCAAACCACGACAAACGTCGACCGTCGACCACGCTCGCTGTCAAATATGAAATCGAAAATTTAATCAGCGCGCTTAGAATGCCAAACAGCGCACACAAAGGTCCACTCTAAATACACATCAACTAAGATGGGGCATGTACGTATTCGAACCCGCACAAATACCAATGCGCGATGGGTGTGCGCCATTAATTTGCATGAAAAACGTGAGTAGCATTCGTTAAAAATTAGATAAGCGCCTGCGGCGCCATTTGGGGTTAACTTTCCTATACCCTTCAATTAGGCGGTGTTCTCGGGGTAATCTTCATTGTTACTCTTAATTTAAACTTAAACAAAAGCATAAAAAACCTTTTAAAATTACACAATTTTCATTAAAAATTATAGTGTTGCATTCAAACTCCAAAATGTATTTTTACCAAATAAAATTTAATCAAACTTGTTATTTTACTGACATTAACTAAGCGACTTGAACTACAATCTTTTCTCTTAGTTTGTAATTAATTAAATCACGACAGATGCTTAAGCCATTTAAGTTGATTATTAATTTAAAACCTATTACAAGTAATTTCAACAGATTATCACGCCTAAAAGGATTCTCTGTAATTGAGTAAGCGTACGTACGTAGTAGCATACCTTCACCGCAGAACAAAATCAAATTTCGGCATCATTATTTAAATTATTTCCACAACATGCCAACCCCCTTTTGTGCAAATTATCGATGGGCTGAGTGAAAACATCGGGATGATTACTTAGGAATACGGAATATGACCTTGGCCCGGGGCTTAGTCAGCGTCCAATTAGCATTTCGTAAATGAATATCCAACGAAGCCCCGGCCGAGTACACATGTAATCCAATCAAATGCATCGCATTCATCATTATCGAGTTGGGCAGATCAAAAGACTGGCAAAAGTTGCCATGACAACCGCATTCCACCCCCCTTCCCCTTACCCCTTCCCCTTTACCCATTCCCCTAGAATTCTCCACCTTTTTGGCAGCAGGTGCGCATGGAATTTATGCAAATGAATCGCCGGCAAAGGTTTCGATTTGCAGGCCTCCCCCGCCAATGGACTCATCTCCATCTTCATCTCCCCATCCTCATCATCATTCTCATCCTCATCCGCCTTTATGAACCATGACGACTAACCGGATGAGGAGGAGGAGGAGTCGAGGGGTTTAGGCGCTGGCGATGGCGATGATGATGGACGACCCTTTTGGGACCGTGCACTTTTTGCCATTTCAATCAGTGGCCGGCAATTGCTTCATTGGCCAGCAAAGCGCTGGAAACGTGTCGCAACCATTTTGGGTCAGCAATTTGTACAAAACACTCGGAACGGACCTTTTAGGATCCGCCAGTGGCTTCTGCTGCTTTAAGTGAACATTCCACAGACCAAAGTTGGTTATTAAACATTAAAATGTTTCACTGCCCCGTTGGCTTTTTTATAGCAGGAGCCAAAGGAAGAGGAGCAATTGGAGAAGGCAATAAAGTGGCCCAAAGTAACCCGATGATGGTGGAAAAGCCCAAGGGATGGGGAGCAGAAGTTCTGTGAGTTCAAGTGTTGAAATTAAGCGAATCATTGGCGAGTAAGCAGGGGATAATGAAACGTGAACCTCTGGAGGGCATTTCCCCGCAAAATTACTTGATTGAAGTAAAAGATTAACTACTACGAAAGGCTCTTCAAAAGTCAATTTACACTACGCGTAAATTCAACGAAAGTTTATTAATTCAATAAGCTAAAGCCAATTTATTCATGGTGTAAGCACAGAAGTACAGGCAAAGTTTATTAATTGACCACGCCCCGCTTGGCAAAACAAATCCATTAGAGGACAGGCAACTCAACTCGGAGCAGCAGTCCAGCAATCCAGCAATCCAGTGGAGTCCACTCGCCAATTCCATTTTGCTGCTGCAGCAGCAGCAATGTCTGGGGCTTTTGACTGCAACTTGTGCTTCTATTGCCACAAAGGCAACTTCAAGTGCTGTTTTGTTGCAGCTTTGCTTGCCACTTAGTCAAAAGGCAAGTCGGCAGTCGGCAGTCGGTAGTCGGCATTCGGCGGCGGCGTCCGCCTTGCCGCAAAAAGCAAACATAATTTCAACTTTTGAAATGCAATAAAACCGCAGCTCATCCCCCGGACAACCCGGGCTCATCCGCCTCTCGCCCCAACTCGACTCTTCGCATAGAGAAAGCAAACAAACAAACAAATGGATGTAGAACATTTTGCAATTGCCAACTGGGTCGTCTGCCGGTGGGGCTGCTGTTCTATAACCCCATCTCCTACCAATCCCGAACCCCCTTCTATCTCCGTCTGCCTCACAAATTATGTACACATAATAAAATGGTAAAAACAAAAAAAAGCAGCGCAAATGCAACTGCAATCAAACGTTGCTCTGGCAACGGACGAAGCCCGTCCATCCTCTTTTGGTGGTCGTGTCTCGCTGCCCTGAAAATTCGATGCGAGTTTCAAACATAATATCCAAATTTAATTGGCATTTAATGGAAAAATAATTAAGCAAAAGCTGTGCCTGTGCTGGTGTTTCTGCTGCTGTGCTTCTGTTGTTGACAGCGGCAGCACCAACTGGCTGCAACTTCAGTTGCAACACAAACATGATAAACGACCATTTGATTACTCGTTACATGCAATCAATCAATTTACTACGCACTTCTACGATAAAACTGTCCCTTACTTTAAGTGCAGTTAAATTAAGATAGCAGTTGTCTTCATTTACCAGATTTATTTCACTTGCCAAAGAATTATTATTCATGCTATTCGTGTTTCAATAAATTTACGTATTTACCATTCAGTAAAGTTGGTAGGTTATACATCATTTCTAATAGAAGTTTATCCCATTTTATGCTTTAATATCTGATGACATCCAGACATTTATCTCCATTTCATATCCATTCAAAAACCCACATTCATCCAGCCATCATTACGTGCCCTTTTCTTAGCAACTGTGGCCCAAACCGGGCATATCCCATTGACCAAGTTTAATGGCCACCAAAATGGTTATTAGCAGGAGCGCCAGCGAGTCCAGCGAAGCGTTGAGGCGACGCGTTGACACTCCATTCCACTCCACTCCACTCTGCTCCAATCCACCAAAGCGTGCGACTAATGAATACAGGGCATTACATACATGAACGAATTGCCATACGGCTAGGCCACATAATTGAAAATACGTATACGCTTTTCATACATATATATATATATATGATATACATATATATTTGCATTATTTACATAAACCGAAAAGTGTCCAATCCATGTTGGGGAAACATGCATTTTGCATTTTTGACGTATTAACTGGGCTTATATTGCCAGTGTGTTTGTGTGACACGCAACAAAATGCCATCGAAATACCAACAAACATTGCACTTTTGCATGCATAATTGTGAAAATTAAAACGAACTGTGTGAGTGTGTGTGTGTGTTGCACAGACACAGACGCAGACGGAGCGTTTTGTGGGGCGGTTCCGGATGAGGGTGGTTCCAGGACTGCCTGCCTGGCTGGGTGTCCTGCCTGGCTGACTGGCTAGCTGCCTTTCCCTGAGTGTCCAGGCAATATGCAAACGAGCTGGGCGAGACTTATGCTGGCGGCCAGCGGAGGGCAGGTGCGAATCGTGCAGTGCACAGGTGCATTCGCTCGGTGTTGGTTTTCATTAACGTCATAATGACTGTCGAGCGGCAGCCGGCCGACAGCTTTAATCCTTCCCTGAGAGGGGCGGTGGTGGCTAGGTGGCTGGGTGGCTGGTCATGTCTAGGGTTTTCCATGCCCGCCGGCGCTCGGACTTCATGGACAACACAGAAACGTGGACACGGAGGAAGGAGTGCTCCTTCGGGCAATTGTGCGCGCACTCACAACAGGAACTTGCCGCGCTGCCGGATATGAGTAATCGCTCAGTCAGCCGGCGCAACACACTGCCAAGTCCTGCAGGACTGCACTGCAAGATTTTCATGTCAGAACAGTCCACCCACCCACTCCCACCACTCCCCACTTTTCCCCCCTTTTTCGCAGCGAGTGCATGACGTAACCCACAACGGAAATCGCTCAACGGTCGCAGGACGCGCGTGCAATTCTCTGGTTAATGTTCGATTCTCTGGTTAGTTTCAGGACGAGAAAAAAAACAAAACAGAAAGCAGCCAGGAGGGAGTGGAAAGCAGGAAGTGGAGGGCCAAGCGGCAGGACAGCCTGCAGGATGCACATTTAAACTAAATTGAAAAGCAGAAACCTTGCAAGAACCCACACAGAATGTATGTATATACTTCAGTGCTTCAGTTGGCAGGACTCGCTTTAAGCGGAAATTAAATCAATTCGAGGCGACACTGCATTTCAGAGCACACAAAATAGAGATAAATACTGGCTACATTGAATAAAATGCTTAGATGAAAGAGAACTTTGAACATATATCTGGAGTATTTTAGAGTTTAATTAAAAATCTTAAATCGATTGGAAACTTATGGCCAAGAAGTAGGCAATGTTGTTTGCTTAAAACGAATATGGTTTGGGATAGTAATAAAGGCTTTATTTAAACAGCTCTGGTATCTTTACAAAAATAAACACGACAGAAAACTTTAAAACCCTTGACTTTAAATGAAACTTCTAGAGAAAAGAACCGCTTTCAAATATTTTCATTTTTTACGTTAAATTTTTCAATATATAGATTAAAGGAATCCGCAATACTCTGTGCTTTTTTGGTATCGATTTATAAAAAGGTAACTATTTTTTGGGCAAGTTAAAGGATTTAACTGGCAACTCGATTTTCTGTGGTCGTCAGATGGACAAATTTTCCCTGATACCGCCAATCCCCCTTCAATTGCTGCGGTCCAGAAAGTTTCGCGCACCCAATGTCGGCCACCTGGATGCATCTGCACTCG